TCTGGCCAAGTTTTGTCCCAAGGTACAGACACCATTTAGCTGTTCCATTTTCTGGGGTTAGCCTTTTCCAACTTCCTGAATTTCTTTTTTGTGATTAAAAAAACCTGACTTTTGTAAAGGAAGCATCCGCTGAGGATGGGGGGCTGCTGGTGGGGAGGACCCCTGGACCTCCTCTCGGCAGGCTCGGGACTAACTTCCTCTCGCCATCACCCATCACTGTGAGCTTCTCAGGAATGGAAGAGTCACGTGACACAAGAGACAGAACTGCTTTGTCGGTTTACAACTCCCAGGAGAGGAACACTATGAAATCTTCTTTAAAGTGGGACTTCTTGTAAGTCAAATGTATGTGAAAGACCTCTCAGATTAAAAGTAGCTACAGGAGTGAATTTATATGTAACTAGACAGGGCTTCCCTGGTGGCTTAGATGGTAAAAAATCTGCCTGCCACACAGAAGACCTGATTTGATCCCTGGGTTGGGAAGATCCCCTGGAGGAGGAAATGGCAACCCACTCCAGCATTCTTGCCCGGAGAGGGGCTATAGTCCATGGGGTCGAAAAGAGTCGGAGACGATTATTTTCACTTTCAGACAAGGTTACAATTAATTGTATAAGGATTTTGAGAGTGTCCTCAAAATTTTATCACCATGGCTTTTCTACTAATATTAAGGGATTCGAGACTACTTATAAATCTATATCGAGGATGTCAGTGGATAGAATTCAGGAGAAATAAAGCTTAAAGATTACCAAGAGATTTGTTTTACCCAAATCTTAAGAAGTGATTAAATATTTACTTGGAGGTTGTTTTTCTGGACAAATAATTTTGTTTAACCACTGATCAAAATAGAGTTTTACGTGAAAAATAAAATCAAAGGGAACTGAATCTCCTCACATACCAGTCATTTGCACGTGTGATGGAAGCAAAACTGAGTTTAGCAATCTGGTGTCCCGCTCCTTGAATCTCTTCCTTCCACAAATTATCAATTCCAGGGGTCCCTGGTGGCTCAGATGGTAAAGACTCTGCCTGCAATGCAGGAGACCCAGGTTCGATTCCTGGGTCAGGAAGCTCCACTGGAGGCAGGCATGGTAACTCACTCCAGTATTCTTGTCTGGACAATCCCACGGACAGAGGAGACTGGCAGGCTTCAGTCCATAAGGCTGCAAAGAGTTGGACACAACCGAGCCCCACCAAGCCCTGGTCGGTGCTGTGGAGTGATGCAGAAGGAAGATCCCCTGATAGCCCCTGATGTAACTAAGTGCCAGAAGGAGAAGGTGGTCAACTTCATGTCACTAGAAGGTGATCAAGTTTATGTCACTAGGGCCACCTGCACATAGCTTTGAAAATCCCATGAAGATGTTACATGAAAGTTTTCCAAATTTCAAGTAAGTAGTGAGAATGTATTTCATAGTCATCTTTCTTCTTCACCACCTCTCTGCTTATCTCTGTTGTTGGTTGGCATAGCCTTCCTTGAAGTTTGCTTATTTGCCTCCTTTATTTTATAAATTTCTTTCCCTCTTGCCATTTGTCCTTGTATTAATTCCTCTCCCCAGAGAATTGGGGGAGAAGCTCCTTAAAATTTTTTTTTCATGACTTCATTATGAAATAGATAACAAGCAGCAACCCCTTTTTTTCCTTTCAACATAAATATTATATGTAACATATCCATAGCTATAGGTTAATAAAACTTTTCTCAGTAGTTTCAGGAAAAATAAGAGTGGCAAAATTTGCCTTTACTGTTTTATCTCAATTGAGTTGATTGCTATAGCCAAGAGGAACCCATGGTAAGAGTCTCAGAAAATGTCTTATTCCCATCCATAAGCAATGGGATGTAGATAAAGGCCCTGAGAAATGGGGAGAAGGACAGCTTTTTGGAAAATCAAAGCTCTGTTTTGAGGAAAGAAATGCTTCATTAAGTTTTACAAAGTCAGTTGCAGGCTTGTTCGTAGCATTTGGGGCATAGGCAGTAAAGTTGATCAAGCCTCCTTTTCCAATAGAAAAAAAAAAACAACACATAATGTTCTCCATAAGAAGTGGAGTTTTCAGGATGCAGCCCATGTTGGTTACAGTGGCGACTGCTTCTATAACCTGGAGAACTTGACCAGGTAGCTGGTCCCCTCTGCCATGCACACCCCTCATGTCTGAGCACCAGCAATGAGGTAAGGCCTCCTTCCTGTAAAGGAACCATCCCTGAAATGTGGTGCCCACTGAATCCAAGGTTCCATTTTACAAAAATTAAGTCTACCCATCAACAGTTTATTGAAGTCCATGAACATAATCCATAGGAAGAATGCTTAGAGGTTTCTGCTCCCAGGTGTAAGGTTTTTGTGAACAAAGGCTTATTTTCAAGCTGAGGTCTCCCAGGAGATCAAGCTTTCTCATGAATGTTAAAACTTCTTGCCCCAAAAGAAAGGCCCAAGATGTCATATATCCTTATCCCCAAGTTGCTGCAAGATGTGACTAAACCCTGAACTTAGGAACTGTCCTTCAGGTGTGCAAGGAGGGAGAGCTGAAATGGGTGAATTGTATGTGGGGGCCTTGATCCCTCCCACACCCATCACTTGGCCCACATGTTACGGTGAATGCTGAGCTTCGTGGATGAGTTACCAGTTCTTACAAAGCTTGAATGGGATGTATGTGCTCCAGTATGATGCTATTGTCCAGCCAGAGGACAATAGCATAACAAAATGCCGTCCTGAGCCTGGCACTCCAGGCACCCTCAAGCCAGGGCCCATGAATATTTATGCCTCGCTTCCCGGGACTGTGACAGGGAGGCGGATGCTCTGGGTGAAGGCAGACCAGTCAAGGGCTCAGACAGCTGGATTGCGAAACAGCATCAGTCTTGAAGCTGTTAGAAGGTTTCGTTGAAGCAGGTTTCTGGAACTTTTATACTTGCCTCTGGCACTCCTCTTCACACAGTGTTTCAGTTTTCGTAAAGAAATCAGTGGAGTCCAGCCTTCACTTGTGTTTGAATGGGCGATGTTCAGAGTGGTTGGAGGCTAAGAGCGCCTATGTGCAGGATAACCTTAAGACTCATGTTGAGGGGATTCTCACCGCCCACCCCCAACCCCCACCCTGCCCCAGTGAGCAGCAGAAGCAAAATGGGTGGTTTTCACCATTTTAACCCTTAAGTTGCTGATCTCTCTTGTTATAATCAAACGACTCGATTAACACGCAGGGAGAGGGGTTTGCACGAGTTGATCCACTTTATATGCAGCAGGGACACTCACAGAGGAGGATTTCACAACACAGGGCTCACCTCCTATGCAAACCAAGCCACTTTAATCCCAGATAGTGTCACATCTGTCATAAATCCGCGTGGTTTTAAAAGAAGGAACATCTACAGGAGAAAAAAAAAAAAACCTCTGTTTTCTTGTTGTCTTCTCATATCATGTAGTTTTAAAATAGTCATAACAATGGACTGTTTTTATGTAGGCTAAAGCCACGGCTGCTCAAAAAAGCAGCGGACACTTTTTGTTGGCTAATTTGCAAAACAGTTCAGTGATTGGTGTGGTGTTTATTATAAAATGATGACAAAAGGGTGCTGGTGGTTTTAATAGTTTTAGCTTACGAGGGCTGTCGTTAATTTTGTCTGTAGTGTTGCAGGTGAAAAAATGCACAATGGATAAATAGTCTATATTGGTTTAACTGAACATAATATATAGTGTGTTCTGGAGTTGTTTGTCTCAATAGACTATAGTAATCAAAAGTAATGAACCTATTATGTGCAGGACCTTGGAGAGCGTCGAATGGCAGTAAAAGTGTGGCACATAAAAGGTTTATTAAAGGAAATTAAAGTCCATCATTGCCACACCTGCTCCCCTATTATAAGTCTATGGCAGGTCAGCGCTTTCCATCACAACTCAGCCTCGGAGAGCAGAGATGCGTCTCCCATCCTCATTGCAGGCACATCGCATCCCCGCCTGTGTCAGGGTTTAAGGATGGTAGCCGTGGAGAGCACCTCTGCCTGCCTCTGATTTTCAACAAGCAAAACAACTTTCTGTTTCAGAATTCCTTCTGATAAAGTGCAAACGTGAATTAAACGGAGATGCTTAAAAGATCCTTATGAAATGGTTGGAGGTAGTCAGGTCAGAATCTATCTCCATGTGGACAAAAACAGCAGACTTTTTAAAGCTTGGCACCCTTTTGATAATTCACTTGGTTATATTTAAGATCATTAGTAATGATATTTTAGGGAATTTGATGCTGACAAAAACAACACTCAAAGTGCTCTCTCCTTATAGATGTGGATGATTATAATTCACCTCTATTCTGGAATTACCAGAGTAAATGTCATCAACATTTCCAGTGGTATTTTACAATAGGGGCATTTCGAGGTTTTGTGTTACTTTGGTTTTTTACACTGGGAATTTTTTTCTTCCTAACTTAAAAACAGGCCTGGGTCCAAAGCATGTGTGCTCAGTTGTGTCCAACTCCTATGGGCTGTAGCCTGCCAGTCTCCTCTATGCATAGGATTTTCCAGGCAAGAAATACTGGAATGAGTTAGCCGTTCCCTCCTCCGGGGGTCTTCCCGACCTAGGGGTAGAACCCGCATCTCTTGTGTCTCCTGTGTTGGTAGGCAGGTTCTTTAGAAAGAGGCCTGTATCCAAAAGGGTCTAGAAATGCAAGCGAATCCGGTTGAATAACTTAGTCTGGAACATTTTGGTTTGGTATTTAAGGTTTGGTCTCTTTCACAACCACTGTTAATCAGACCATTCTTCCTTCCATCTTCATGATGCCCAAAGTGTCTGAGTCACCAGTGAGCACTTGCAGACAAGAACATCTGCTCTCTTGCCCACTCCCTCTGGTATCAGCATCTATAGAAGTGTTCCAGAACTTGCGGGCTGTGAGAGCAGTCACAGTTCTGTCTCCACAGAATCAGATGCTGTTCGGGAGCGGGGAAACTCCTCTGCTCTTCATAATGACCTTCAGAACTTCTGGTGGCCTGTGTTTGTATTTTAGTCAGTGTCAAAGGAATGACCCAGGACTGTGTGTTCACGTTACAGATGGATGCAGAGGCTGAAGACAAAACGCTTCGTACCCGTGCGAAAGGAGCCAAGGGTGAGTTAACATGCAGATTCTGTGACCCCGTGCCCAGCACCGTGAAATGTGGGCGTCCCACGCTTGATCCCTGATGTGTAGTCAGGAGGATCGCAACTTGCTCAGGGTTCCCATTTTTAAATCAAGCCAGGACACTGCATCATGGCCCTAAGAGGCTAAAGAATATGAACCAGGAGTTAAAGGACCCAGAAAAGGCCAAATAATGTAGGATGCTAGTGTTTATGAAATGCAACCATGAGTAGATTTAAACATCCTGCAAAACAGTATAAGGGTCAGGGAGGGAAGAAGGCTTCATGGAGACCTCAAATTATCAATGTGACCTTTAACACCCAAGGGAGAAGTCCAAACCGTTCATTTATTGCCAAAGTGGGTTTTGATTTTTATGTTATCTGGTTTAGTGGCTCCCAATCTAAACTTCACGCAAGTAAAATGATGATGTTTGGTTTTGGACTATCCCCGCCAGGGATTTTCGGCAGCTCTGCAAAGTCATGTCTGAAAGGTTTAACTTGCCGGTTACCCTCTCTTTTTGTAACCAACAGATGGTAATGTAATATTGAAATATAAACAGGCCCTTGATGATCGAAACATCTGGAAAACAGGATTGACTGGCAATAATACCCCTTAAGGAAAATAACTTTTATTATAATTAGCTATATTTGTGTGACCCTCCATTCTAAACGGAAGATTCAGCCTGGCCTCTGGAGGGAGCCGGGTGGCTGTTCCCAGCCTGACCCTCCTCAGGTTGGCCTCCTGGTGGAGGAAGGGTTGGGTTGGGGAGTGATCACGCAGTCGTTTGGAAGCATTTTGAGATTTACAGTTGAAAGCATCTAATCAAATTCAATGCTTTTGTTAGCAGTGTTTGTGTTGTGTAGTCAAGGTATGTAATCCCCATTTCAGTGAAGTATGGAATCACCCATTTTTTAAAATTCCAGGATGATTTTTTTTTTCAGTTAAAATAGAACCCTGATTATCATTAGGCATGATAATCAAAATGCAGAATCACGCATTTGCATTTGGCCCAAGATATGGAAATTTTCTCTACCCAAACTGAAGTTGTACAGTATTCTTTAAGCAGGTTTAGTTAAAGTTACTTTAAAAGTAATTACATCATATGTCCTATTATTTGGAACAGCTTCCCTGCTGGCTCAGTGGTAAAGAACCTGCCTGCAAGGCAGGACATACAGGTTTGATCCCTGGGTCGGGAAGATCTCCTGTAGAGGGAAAAGGCAACCCACTCCAGTATTCTTGCCTGGGAAATCCCATGGACAGAGGAGCCTGGTGGGCTACAGTCCCTAATATTTGGAATGCAATTTTGGAAACATCAAAGTTGTAGGCAGCAAAGTTCTCCATGGAATAAGAGTTTAGCGATAATATCCTAGCACTATTTAGGATAGGCTCACGTCTGCCATAAATATTAGTATTCTAGAAACTATTTGGATCATTCGAATCTCTTGTTCTGACTTCTGAAAGCATACGACTCTCTCATACTTCAAATGCATTTTAATTTGCCATTCTTTTTGGACTTTGAATCCTTTTGGCACATACATAAGCACTCTTAAACAGAGCCAAAATGTTGTTGGACAAATGAAACAACTGTTTCTCATGTAGCGTGAGTCATCTTTAAAACCACCTGTTGTCTCTCTCAATATGCTGCTTAATCTGTGGTAGGCAGGTATTTATAAACATGAACTTCTTTAGTTCCCATCATTTCTTTTTTTCTCTAACTGCTTTCTTTTACAAATGTATTTATTTTTTAATTGAAGGATAATTGCTTTGCATAATTTTGTTGTTTTCTGTCAAACATCAACATGAACCAGCCACAGGTGGACATACATCCCCTCCGCTTTCAACCCCTCCCATCTTCCTCCCTATCCCACCCCTAGGTTGATACAGAGCCCCTGTTTGAGTTCCCTGAGACATACCTCATTCCCATTGGCTGTCTATTTTACATTTGGTAATGTAAGTTTCCATGTTACTCTCTCCATACATCTCACCCTCTCCTCCCCTCTCCCTCTGTCCATAAGTCTTCAGAAAAATCAACGCTCTTCTTTCTATAAGTGTCTTATTTTTAATTGGAGGTTGAAATTAACATGACTCAAACTTCTCTTCTTTCTCCAGGAATAAAATTTATGGAACAGAATCTTAGGACATTTATTAATAAAATATTGTCCATTCTATTTAAATGCTTGTTTAATATAAATAAAATGCAAACAAGATTCTTTTGAAAATTTTCCTAGAGACAATAAAATTGATTTAAAAAGTAGTTCAGGGATTTCCCTCACAGTCCAATGGTTAAGACTTCACCTTCCAATGCAGAGGTGTGGGTTCAATCTCTGGTCAGGGAGCTAAGATCTCACATACCTTGCAGCCAAAAAACCAAAACATAAAGCAGAAGCAATGGTGTAATAAATTCAATAGACTTAAAAAATTGGTCCACATTAAAAAAATAAATAAATAAATAAAATAAAAAATAGTTTGTCCTCTGTGCTCCTGTACTTTTTCAGTGAAGTTCTAGAGACAGGTATTTGGAAGTTGATCCATGACTGCGAAGTCCTAGGGTCACTGGAGGCCCAACCCAGAACTATATGTCTGGGCCGTGATCACCTGTCTTCTTGTATCCAAAGAACCAGAACTGGAAAGATGAATCAGCCCAGAGGGAAACTGTTGGGTCTGCACTAACCAGGGCTCCCCAAGTGGCGCTAGAACACATCTACCAATGCAGGAGATGTAGGAGACTTGGGTTTGACCCCTGGGTCGGAGGAGGGTCTGGTAACCCAGTCCAATATTCTTGTCTAGAGAATCCCATGGACAGATGAACCTGGTGGATTATAGTCCATGGGGTTGAAAAGAGTCAGATAATACTAAAGTGACTTAGCACATGTGTACTGCACTAACCACTGGTTGTCATCCCAAGGAGGTGAAAGGTTTCTGTCATACATTTTTCGAAATTATACACTGATTTTCCTTTTCTGCCTTTCTTTTTGTCAGCAGCACCAATGGATTCTCTAATCCAGGAGCTGAGGTAAGAGTTGCCCTACTTCACTTTTTCTAAGATTGATTGGCTTTAATTATTAGAATGTTTTGTACTTTTTAAGCCACAGATCCTCATTTTACTGTGAGCACCAAGCCAGTGGGCCTATTTCATGTACCTTTGTCTCTACCCCAAAGAGACAAAGAAGGGGAGAAACTCCTGACTGTTCATCTAAAACAACCCAAGATAATGTTTTGATAGCAAGACGCCGTTCTTCTATAACGTGAGTGGTTTTCCACTTTCTCCTCATAGGGTGTGCTGCCTCTGTGTACACACCCCGCTTGTGGTTTGTTTTCGTGCTGATGGAAACAAAACTGAGGTCATCTGAGAACTTGACTGAGGAATAAGCCCAGTCCAGAGTGCTCCATGTTTCTCCTTAATAATCAGAAAATTCTTTTTTAGATTCCACATGTAAGTGGTATCACATGATATGTCTTTCTTTGTCAGGCTTGTTTTACTTAGTTTGATAATCCCTGGGTCCACCAACATTGCTACAAGTGATCTTCCTTCATTCCTTTTAAAGACTGAGGAATATTCCATTGTACATAAGTACCACATCTTCTTTACCCATTCATCTGCTGATGAACACTTACGTTGCTTCCATGTGTTGGCTGATACAAATGAACTTATTTACAAAACAAAAGTAGACTCACAAGACATAGGAAACGAAGTTATCCTTACAAAAAGGAAGGGGGGATAAATTAGGAGTTTGGGATTAACACAGACACACTACTATATATAAAATCAATAAACAAGATTCTACTGTATAGCACAGGAAGCTATACTCAATATTTTGTAATAACCTCTAATGGAAAAGAATATGAAAAAGAAATTATATACAATATATATGTAGCTGAATCACTGTGCTGTGTACCAAAAACTAACACAACCTTGTGAATCAGCATACTTCAATTTAAAAAATTTAAAAAAGATTATCAGATAATCATGTGAATTTTTGACTGTAGGTATTTGAAGGTAACGTGACATGGAATTTGGGGTGGATATAAGCACTTCAGACTTCGAGACTGTGATATGGGCCTCAGGCAATGCTCTGGAAATGCCAATGGACTAGTTTTTGCAGAATAAACTCCAATACATAGGTTTTCTTTCATAGAGTCTTTGCAAGGTCTAGCTTTGTTTTGTTTTGAAGTGCATATTTAAAAAGAAGCACATGCTGCTGATCATGTGTTTTCTGTCATGATATGTCTGATCATGATACGTTTTCTGTCCTGGTGCTATTTTTTAACAAAATTTGTCAAGCAAGAGGAACCCCTTGTCTCTTCTCTAGGTGTGCAAACCCAGGAAGTCCCAAACTCAGGGTCTAATCCGTCTTTCTGAAAACAGCGATAGTATACGTGTTCCTTGGGGGAAGTGTGTGAAAACGAGTGCGGGCAACAGTGTCTGGACCGGTAATGGTGTGTGAATGTGTAACAGTGTCTGGTACACCTGGAAATTTACAGTGTATTCATTGACAATTTACATAGTCATGTCATTTTTCCAGGCAGTTGTGCTCTGTGACTTCCTAAAGGAGCACCTCCAGTTCATTCATCAATTGAGTGGGACGGGATCTGTCAGAATTGGGTACAAGCCTTCATGCTGGTGCTTTTCTCTGTGAAAATGTGTTTGTAGGAAAGCCATGGCCCTTTCTACATGGATGTTGTCATTGAGAATTTTACATTTTTAACTGCTTTTATAAGAGTAGAGCCCAGAATACACCCACAGTATCTGGCTCCCTTAAATTCTTGCTTTTGCATCTTTTCTTATTGACAATTCCTTTTTGTTTGGAGATGATGTCCCTGAGGAGTAGAGGAGAGAAGTTGACAGTGCTCAAGGATTCAGGGGTCTGAGATACGTGCCCTCCCAGGGGGGCTCCTTGGAGGTCTCACAGCCGAAGAACTGTGTTTTCCAGTAGGGTTCTTTGTAGGGCGTCGAACTACTCAGAGGCAGGGAAGGCCTTTTGAGTAATGTGTCTTGAAGAATAATGTGAAAAGCAAAGGAAAATTTTGAAGAAATGAATATATTTTGTGTTTGACCTAAAATTCATAGAGAAAAAAGAAAACATTAGCAGAGAGAAACAGCTTTGTGAGAGAAGCAGCATTGTTTAAATAACCTCATTGGAAAAGACCCTGATGCTGGGAAACACTGAAGGCAGGAGAAGGGGACAGCAGAGGACGAGATGGTTGGATGGCATCACTGACTTGATGGATATGAGTTTGAGCAAGCTCTGGGAGTTGGTGATAGACAGGCAAGCCTGGTGTGCTGCAGTCCATGGGGTCACAAAGAGTCAGACACGACTGAGTGACTGAATTGAACTTAACTAATGGAGAAATAGGGATTACTATTTAAGTGATATTTAAATATGTTAATATTTATTAACATCAATAATTACAGTCAAACTAATATTTATTGAGAGAGTGTCCTGAGTGTCCTGGAGCAGTTTGTCTCATCAATTCTTCAAGAACCTTACAAGGTAGAAACTATTATTTTTCCAATTTTCTGATGAAGAAAGTGAAAATAAATAGTTTACATAAATAGCCTAAGATTAAACAACTAGTAAGGAATTCAGACTTCGGACTCAGGCCAGCTCCTCACCCTGGCTTCGTGCTCTCTCCTGTGCAGTTAATGCTGATTGTCCAGAATATGAATCAAGAAGAAAGTCTGCCATCCATGTCCTCAGAATCTGGATTGTTACAATTTTGTAGTTTAACCCTTACAGTTTATTTTTCAAAGCCTGTTGGTGTTTGGTTGCTCAGTTGTGTCCAACTCTTTGTGATCCCATGGACTGTAGCTTGCCAGGCTCCTCTGTCCACGGGGTTCTTCAGGCAAGAATACTGTAGTGGGTTGTCATTCCCTTCTCCAGGGGATCTTCCTGACCCAGGGATCGAACTTGCATTTCAAAGCCTAGTTTTCTGAAATTCAAAAAAGAATACACTTGAATTAAAGATAACATTTCCCAGTCTCCTAATTCTCTAAAGAAATGTTTGTCAGATATTCAATTTTACCTAACTTGTCATTAAATTAATTAATCGATTCAGAAAGCTTGTGGTAATTGCTGGAAAATTCATAAGCAAAATGAATTCACCTATTTTTTTCTTTACTGAGAATGAGTTTATAAAAATTACTGATTATTGTTAATTTGATAATTACTTATTTTCAACAGCCTGATCATGCTCAGGCTAAATAGGTCTCAAGCTGTTTCTTAAATGGCTCAGGTTAATCCAGGTATGAACCCTAATTGCCGTTCTATATAGACCTTGAAAAAAAGTCCGATTCGTATGGAAAATTATAGTTTTGGTCTCTTTTTAATTTTGCCAAACTTTATCCATTTGTTACAGCTGTTCCTCTGACTGATTCTGCAGTTTTGTTCTGGTCCAGAACCCAGAATTTGTTGCCCCTAAATTCTGAGTATCTAAGGAAATGTGGCTGATTTTCCCCAGTGTAAAACTTGTGGCTCTTTTTCAGAGAACCTTGGCAACTTTATTTAGTTCTTTCTTTTAGAATGCATTGGGCATGTTATTGCTTCTACAGCTACTACTTACAAAAACGCTAATACAAATGAAGCTGATTTAAATATATTGCATATTGTTCCTGACACTAATAAAAATTGATACTGACATTCTCATCTTCTTATGATCCTCTATGTCAGCTACTATCCTCACCATTAAAAAAGCAATTTATAACCCCAGACCCACCTTTAATCATGTGTCTTATTAGCATTTCCAGCTTTTCCTCCAGCAGAATTCAGGTTACATGTGGTGCTGAGGGGGCTCTCACGCGTCCGCTAAATCATGACTGTTGGATTTTCTGTGCTCTTTTCTTTTATTACTGTTATCCTTAATCTGATCCTCCTGCAATTGCATCTGCTAATATTGGTAATTGTGTCCTGCGTCGGCAAAGTGTTTTACACCAGTCCAGCCCCTCTCCTCTCATTAGGAAAATATATTCCAGCCTCTGAAATGGCTTTTCTATGTGACTCCTTAGAGGCACAAGTGAATTCAAGGCTCTTAATTATATTAGAGGTAAATCCCACTGTCCTTTCATGCTCTTATTGCTGCCTCCCAGTTAGCTGAAGTTTTGTAATAAAATTTTAATTTAGTTGTCTCTTTTTACCTTGTTCGGTCACTAAATCGTGTCTGACTCTTTGTGACGCCATGGACTGCAGCAAGCCAGGCATCCCTGTCCTTCACAATCTCCTGGAGTTTGCTCAAATACATGTCCATTGAGTGATGCTATCCAACCATCTCATCCTCTACCACCTCTTTCTCCTTTTGTCTTCAATCCTTCCCAGCGTCAGGGTCTTTTCTAATGAGTTGGCTCTTAACATCAGGTGGCCAAAGTATTGGAGCTTCACCTTCAGCACCATTCCTTCAAATGAATATTCAGTGTTGATTTCAAGTGACATTGTCTAGGTTTATCTGACAATCTGGATTGGGGGAAGTTAGTGCTTTATTCCCGCGAGTTCTTGGACTGAGACAGACTGGACCAGAGTCAGACTGTGGGCCTGTCTGTGGTCCAGAGTGTACTCCATGTCTCACCGGACACAGTGTAGTCACTATATTGCCCCGTTAGTGCAGAACCTAGCATTCCTTTGTTCCCCCAATAGTCTTTACTTTTTAGAGCAGTTTTATATTCACAGCAAAACTGAGCAGAAGGTAGAGAACTCCAGATAGACCCCCACAACCTCCCCCACCATCAGCACCCCCACCAGGTGATATCTTTGTTACAAGTGATGAACCTGCACTGGCATGTTGAGATCCCATCTTAGCATCCACATTTGGGGGAATATTTACTCACACCTCAACAATAGATGAATAAATCAAGGTGGACTGTATCAGACCTACAAACCAAGCCTAGCACATTTTCTTGATTCACAGCACTGCTGATTAGAGATCACTGTCCTTCCTTCCGGATTTTTGTATTCCATGAATGAGTTATGTGATTTTTAAGTCTGTGTTAAAATACCTGGAGTTCCTACAAATCTCTGTTCATTC